CTGGGAAAATTTGGAAAAAAATTTATTTCCACATCAAATAGTACATTTTTATGTAAAAGACTCTGCTGAATTCAAATCCACTGTCAGAATTGAGCTAGAACGTGTGGTTTTTTTTCTAACCTCAAAAAACCGAGCAGGAATCGCTATTTTCAAATTCTGAGCGGATTTTGACCAGATTTTGTATAAAGGGGTTTTTTGGGTCGCTGATTACGAATATGAATTCACATTGTAAAAATTCAAGATGGCTGATCCAATATGGCGGGTGTACTTTTTTGAAATCCACCGATTTCAGTAAAATTTGGCATCATAAGGATTGCTGGTTGATCTCACCTTCATTAATCACACATCTGGAGCCAGATTTTCATAAATCAAGGTAAAAGATTCCACTCCGTCTAAAAATGTGACTTCGCTTAAAAAAATGACTTAAGGACTCTACACATGTAATGATGTGTAGTGTGATGTGCTTGTTTCCATGGGACAAGACAAAAAAGTTTCTACTTTATTCTTTCATTTATTTAGTCGTGCATGGGCTTATGGTTTTCCAATCAGATTTTTTTAACTACTATGCAGTTTTCCTATGGCATTTAGATGCTTTTATTTCTTAATAATTTTAAAGTTCAAGGAAAAGGACACATTACTGCCACACAGCACATCACTGCATCTGCTTATGCCTTCAATCTAAAAATGTGACTTTGCCGAAAAAATGCCGCCTACTCGGCCTAAAATTATGACTCTGCCTACAAATTTTACCTTGATTTATGAAAATCTGGCTCCAGATGTGTGATTAATGAAGGTGAGATCAACCAGCAATCCTTATGATGCCAAATTTTACTGAAATCGGTGGATTTCAAAAAAGTACACCCGCCATATTGGATCAGCCATCTTGAATTTTTACAATGTGAATTCATATTCGTAATCAGCGACCCAAAAAACCCCTTTATACAAAATCTGGTCAAAATCCGCTCAGAATTTGAAAATAGCGATTCCTGCTCGGTTTTTTGAGGTCAGAAAAAAAACCACACGTTCTAGCTCAATTCTGACAGTGGATTTGAATTCAGCAGAGTCTTTTACATAAAAATGTACTATTTGATGTGGAAATAAATTTTTTTCCAAATTTTCTCAGTAAATTTTCATCAATTTTTACTATTTTTCACAAGTTTTTTGAGGTTAGGAAAAAATTGTGACGTGATGGGCCAATTCTAACCCCAGATTCGTGTTCAGGAGGCCAAATTACTACGAAAAATATATGTCGCATAAAAGTATACCCAACTTTTTTTTTGTGTGGCTGTGTTATAAGGGGTACAAACATGTATATATTAGATAGCAAAGGAGTCAAATAAATGAAGCCAAGATTATTTCCCCTCCAGAGCAATCTCTAGTGCTAAACTGACTGAATGTGCGTGTGCCCAGTTTACATGCGTTGCAAGGGGTATACAAAAATTAACTCATATATCTCTAATTATATTAGTTTCTCTCTCTAAAACCACCGGAAAAAACATGTAATTCAGACTTATCATACATTAGTTTTAGTAACATTGATGGCTTATTGATAGGTACAGTTACAATTTTCTTAGTCGTCACATAAAGAACTATTTCTAAATCTTTGTATAATTGTAAGTATGTGCACTCCACAATGTCAAAAGAGAGAGAAAGAGGATCTTAACTTTTTGTTAAAAAAGTACAGTACAAGCAGTTTTTTCAAAAACTTTTTTCTGTCGTCAATGAAGTCATTTAAAAATATGTTTTAGGCAGTTTGATTTATTTGATACAAATTTGATCTCTTCAATTTCTTCAATCCTGAATATCTTGTTCAGATGTTTTGTACACTAGTACAAGTTTTTATATGACCCCATATACAAAACTCTATAGAACTTCAATCAAATGTTTGAGGAAATTAAAACTTAGGTTTTACACGGCCTCTACAATGATTCTAATGTTATAATGCGTTTCATTTGAAAATTGTTGTGCTCTTACACTAAAATGGGATCAAGGCTGACACCTAGAGGTACATCTTTAAGAAGTACTGGAAGTATTTTTCTCTTTGAGAAAGTAGTTGCAGGTATAGGTATATCTCCATTCAGTCAATCTACGTGGTGAGAATTTTGGACCAATTAAGTGATCTCCAATCATTCCAATCCACACACTCAAAGAAAACTGCTGTTGGTAATGAAGCGCCACATACACGGAAAAAATTCCACATGATTTTTTTTACGGTTATTAAGATAAATAAATAATTGATTATTATCGATTGTTCTAAAAAATTGTCTTTATTTATAAGCAAGATCTGTGTCAGAAACTAAGGATTTTGCTCAATCCTTTCTCGAATCCAAAGATGAACTGCACGATGATGTGAAAATTCTCACAGTGAAAGAGTCTATGCAAGGAATATAAAAATTGTTCCTTTAAGATGATCATCATGTGGTTGATATTTAACTTCAGAGCAGTTTTTCTAATGCTAGTTGTCCAGTTCGTTATCAATCGAGTTCAGTAGTAACTACAATCGTATTTAAGTTATTTTCCTGAAAAAGGACAAGTCTTAGGGAGTCATCCAGGAAATCGCACAAACAAAGTGTGATGAGAAATACATGCTATCGGAGTTATTGTAGTGTTGCATATTGGGTTAATGAATCAAATTGCACAAAATGTACTCAAAATAACGGCAATATTTATTAACAACTGTCAACCTAACAAAACTTTCTTTTTAATAATTTATTTCTTTGTTCCAAAAATATTGTTATTTGCGAAAAAAAACAAGAAATTATTTTACAGCATATTAATTCACACCCTGTATAGTACTACCCAAATGCGCGACTGATAACATTGATAGTTTTACATATAAAACAAAACCGACTCCATATTTGTACCCCCTTTGTGTTAAATTTCGAATACTTTCCTGTGTCTAATGAAACAATTACACGACTGAAGTTAACCCAGCATTTTTAAAATTAATAGCATACATTTGTGTCGAAAAACATCCTATCGCATAGCAGAATTAATGAAGCCCTCTGTAAAACAAAAGCCGAAACCGGCGCAAAAAAGAGCAGCAGCGCTGAAATTCTTTTGGTCGATTAACTTATGGTGTGAGTTTAGAAGCATATAGTAGGCAGGCGTCCATTAATCATTTTTATAATGAAACAGCAATTCCAAGTCCGGCTTAAACAATACTAGATTGATTGCTGATATCATGGCCGATGGAGCGTGCTGACTTTTTAAAAGTCAATCACTAAATATGAGGGAAGTCATTAATATAAATGTATTTTGAAAAATCCTGACGTGCATAATTTGATTCTGATTGCACTTAAAGTATGATCTATGATACATCTTCGGAAAAACTTCTGGCTTGAACAATTTTCCTATACTGTACAAATCTCAATGGAATTGTCAATAAAATGTGGTAGCCACATAGCTGTTAGGTATGTTACTCAAGTTTTAAAAAGATGACATTGAAGAAACGTTTTAATAAGATATTTGGAGCAACTTCTTTACAACTGACTACATAAATCGACTGAATTAAATGTTTCGTATGTACTTTTTCTAATTATTAAATAGGAAACTTAATTTTTAAACGAATGTATTTTTTAGCTTCGGTATATTTTATCCATATTGAAAAATTGGTTTTTTCAATTAAAATGTGATAAGGATACCCATTTACTACAACCGAAAACTTGAAACAGCATAAGGATCCGACAATATCGATCTATAATGAAAATTTAGTAGACTTGGACAACGTCAGTACCAAATGGATCCTCTTCCCATTGAGGAATTAACATTATAAACACATATAGGTTAATTCTTATACGTGTAACAATAGCCGGGACGCGTAGTAATTTATTTGTTAGTTCTCGAAGCGGATGGGCCAAAAAATAAAATATTTGAGTCAACATAAATTATCGAAAATTAAGGGCTCTCAAGTAGGTTAGCGTCGTCCTTCGGAGAAATTTAGCAATATTTTTTGAACAAGTTCACTTAGAGTCGGGCCATGTGATAGTCATCTGTCGCGTCCGGGAGGCGCCAGCCTATGCTGGGACAAAATAAAGGGAAAAATGCATTCCAAAGAACGTATGAATTCCAAGAATAAGTTGTTAGAATGTTGTGAGGAAAAGAAAGTAATAAGTAAAATAGCTGGTTTTTTGGCGGATTTTCCAAGCTATAAGGATATATTAAATGAGATCGACTAATCCGTCCCGTATCGCTACACGGAGTCACTAGAGAAAGGCTAGGGTTATTTGTAAGTTTAGTCTCAAAATTATTTAGATAAATATAAAATCAGTCAATTAGATAACTATTAACATGGATGGGATAGTTATGCCAAAGCGTCCCGGTATCCAGGGTTCCCGTCAGTAAGATAAGAACAGAAACGTCTGGACCCAAGAAATGGGCGTGTCGAAGCGAAGTGTCGAATTCAGGAGAGATCTACAAAAAAAGGTAGTTCTTCCTTAGGTTCCACATTGAGCAGTCGACTTAATTTTAGAGTCTCGGGCTAATTAATTAAATTTAATAATGGAAATTTTTTTTTCCAAATTTTGCGATGAATCTCGCATTCCCTGAATCTCAGTACGCTGTCGTGTGTCGATAAAGTAATTAATAATGTTGTTCGAGCCGGTATGTTGTTATTTTGTTTGTTTGTTTTATTTACTATTATTAAAACCCTTCCTGGAAGTTGTGGTGTTTCTCTCAACTTCAGTGTCACCCCGTACAGCCAGCCACTGGATTACATTCTACGTAAGCAATAAAGGGTAAGTGCCTGAAATTCATTCTCTGAACGTACAACATTTCTAAGTTCCCTCGTATTAATTAAAGTATAATGATAATTATAAACTCCCTTTCGAGAATTAAATAGTAAACTCTTTTGAAATCCAGACTCTTTATGATACTAGTCATAACGGTAGATAGATAATTAAAGAAATAACCCCTATATAACCTCATACGTAGCTCTGGAAGAATCAGGCTGCAAGCTGTTGAGAAGGCCCTAGAGTCAGCAATTCTAAAACCAAAGTAGCATGGAGTTGGAAGAAAACAGCAATCTTTCATTGCCTTTTGTCAAGAAGAATTCAGAAGGTATCCTAAAGCACAGCATTTACAACATACAAGAAAGAATAGAATCTATACTCATCTTATCTCATCCAGAAACAAGGTATTGTCAACAGCATAGTGCATGGAGCTTGCACTATTTCCGAACCAAAACAGAAGAAATAGATACACTAATAGAAATGTTGAACCATAACAGAAATCATCAAAGAATGAGACGAGGGAAAAGCAGGTTATGACTTGTCTATTCTAATCTCTAATGATGTACTGATGACAAAAGCGCTCTTTCGTACAATATTAGTAACATCGCCTATAACACCTCAAGGAAGATAAGGACATCTTTTCCCAAATGAGCTGCAGGAGCATCTCATATACGTGCTTCAAAGTCTACATTGGATAAAGGTAGAAATATATTAGGTACTAGGTTGAGGAAATAGTGTTACTTGAAGAATAACATGGAGCAAAACACTAGGTGAATACAAAGAAGGGGAGCGATATATTTCGAAACGTCAACCAACGACATCGTAATCAGCCTGGATATTATTTAACATTTAACAACTATCACAGAAATCTATATTCTGATTCTTCAGAAGATATATTCTGTTCTTGATATTCTTGAATTTATTGACTAAATAATATCATTGGAATACTTTAATATCCAATTATCCTTCTGAAGCAAAACAAATCTGGCAGACGCTATCTAGGTGAAAACTTATGGTTAGCGTTTTCTGGAATATATATATATAAACAATTACACGACTGAAGTTAACCCAGCATTTTTAAAATTAATAGCATACATTTGTGTCGAAAAACATCCTATCGCATAGCANTATATATATATATATAAATACCCATTTGGTTAATTTTATGACCTCAAGTAAAACAATAGGAAATATTATGATTGGCAGACTCCTCGACGACTGAGGAGTGTTTATTGAAAATAAGCATGGAAGATGGCTGACCAAAAACATTTGGATGAGATTTCCCGCCTACATGTTGCTGTGTACATTCTAGAACTGCTTCAACATTGCATTTTAGATCATTCGGCATATAGTCTGGATTTATCACGCATTATCATTTATCATTTATCAATCAGTTTTCACTTGTTTAAACGTTTCAAGCACTCTTAGATAAAAAATAGTTTGAATGCGGTGAACAATTATTACAGATAACTGTAAAGAAATAGTTGCATGGAAAGGTAGAAAAATTAGTTCTACAAACTGGGAATACAAAATTTTAAATGGTGACTATTTAGACAAATAAATTAATGTCCATAACTAATAAAAATAATTGCATATTTTTAATTAATTGGTTTTCTTTGGAAACCAGATTCTGGATGACCCCCGTATATGCAAAAAAAGTGTCATAATCCACTCAGTAATACAATGCATATGGGTCATTGTAGCTTCAACTACGATTGTAGGGTGGCTCGTGCTATTGAAAGGCACACCTGCGGTGCGGTCGTTGTACATATGGTCTAGGCCAGCATCAATAGCAGCCCCAAGTCGTGAAAAGATAGAAACGGGATCTGAACATATTGTAAAGTATTTAGTAAGCCTTTAATTTTGGGACTGAGGCGTCACCAATATGTGCAAGTCATATGGTCACATTTTTGGCGATAGGGAGATCATGAATTTGTTTCTGCATTCAAAGCCACATATCATCCAGTGAAGATAAATCATACACTTTACCGCATAAAAGACCAAAAAATTGTTATTACAAACATTTTCAGTAAAAATATAAAAAGATAAGTATTCGGTCGCAAACAATAAAAGTCAAATAAGTGCTTACAGGATTTCCCACAGGTACCTCGTGATCACTCCATACTTTTTTTAATTTTAAAATTAAGAGAAATTGTTTCAAAGAAAAGTTGAAGAGTCCTTTAATGGCTCCAATAATTAATTTTTATAAAAAAATTCAATGTTGCATGTGCCTAAGTTATATTTTTTAAATGGAACCCTCGTTTCTTATATTTTTAAAATAAATTTTTCTGATTATACCTATACATTTACTTCAATAATTTTTTTAGGTAAAAAGTTTTTATTCATATCGACAGTATGGAATTATGTGCAATATACATATTCAAATTGCTACAAATACGTTCAGGATATAACGCCTGTATAATGCTTTTAGTTTTTTGGGATTTTTCTTTTTCAAAAGACGGAACTGTTAAGTTCCATTTATGAGGAGAGATTCACTTATCACTGTCAAATACAGAACCGGTTCAGAAAAAATTATGGAGATGAATAATGCAACACCTGCATACGGAATAATTATTTTAAATTTATGTAAACCTAACTTTTATCAGTTTTTTTATTACAATTTAATAAATAAAGAGTTATCTAAAAAAAGATCTCCAAAGCAAATATTTGACATATGTATGGGTATTGTTGAAACCAGAAAAATTTAAATATTTTTTAAAATATAAAATCTTAAGCTTTAAGAAATTTTACTTAAATCTAAATCTAAAAGCTTTATACAATTATTTTTGTTTTTCCTTCTCTATCTAGTTTATTTTGTCAGGAAACTGGAAATAATAGTCTTTTTTATTAACGAAGATAAATACTTTAACCCAATTTTACGTATTTGTATGTGCAATAGCAATATATTATTTGATACCGACAATCATTTTTTAAAATATGCATATATATTTGCAACACAATGTGTCGATCCTGTATACGTTTCCAAACAGGACGAGAAATCGTCCTTTCCCATTCTAAGTACGGAATACATTGAAAACCGTATTGGATGAACGTATTTCGAGACTCCGCCCCTCTCTAAAGCTCCATTGGTCTGATTGCACCCTAGAACTTACGTTCACCCCTATAGGAAGGTTTGTGTACCTAAATGAAATACGCTTTTCTAAACGTATGTACACCTTCCTTGTCTGAATCGCGCGCCGCAGGATAACATTATCCTTTTTCAGCGTTAAGAGTGGGATACTCTGCAAACCCAGATGCTTTTAGGGGTAGGCAGAAAGTCTAACAATATTTGGACGTAGTGTGTCTGCTTTTTCACATTATGCATTGTGTTTTCTAAGCGATAGCTTCGACATTCTTCCTGCTGCTGTGGCGACAGTGTGGTGTAAGTCAGTGTGAAAATGGACATACATAGTAGAAAAATCGAACTGAAAAGTGAGATACAGTGCGACGAACACACTCAAATCACGTCCAAGGCAGTGAAAAGACCTTTCGATGTCGCTTTTCTGATGTTACCAGACGAAAAACTAAAACAGAAACAGAGCAAGATCGCAAAGAATATCACGTTTGAAAAAGAACTTGAAGTGAGTTATAATAACAACGATGAGGACGAAGAGATCGAAGTCGAGGACACTCCACGTGAGTACAAATTGCATCAGAAATTTTTCACACAAAAACAACAGATTTTTGACGACCCCAATCTGATTAAACCGAAAAATTTAGAAGATCTCAGAAGTAAATCGCTATCGTCGCCGTCAGATCAAAAAAGTGCTTTTACTAAAGTAAACCTCTCCACAAAGGAACCTCGGGTGTCCCCCGGCTTATCAGCGAGTCCGGAACTGAGCTACCAAAATTCTTTGAGCCCTTCTCCACCTATAATAAACCGCAACTATCAAAACTTCCCCACGAGCATGCTTTCGCCTAGCCAGATCTTCAAAAACCAACAAATCACTGCATATCAAAACCAATTCCTACCGGAAAATTTCCACCATCCCAGTGGCAACTTAGAAAACACATTCTTCAAAACACAACCGGAACTTATCCAACCCAATTTCGCTAAGATGCGGCCAATGTACAGACCGGACCTCACGTACAACTATCATCAATTTCCCAACCAGGACATGTTGAAAATGGCCCAGCCTGATTTAAAATTTCCAGCTGATATCAGAAATCCGGCGGCGGCGATCCTAACCTCGCTTTTACCGCCTTCTCTAGCGGCACTGTCGCTGCCTGCTCAAAATGTGTGTGCCAAGTGCAATATATCGTTTAGAATGACGTCTGACCTAGTCTATCACATGAGATCTCACCACAAGAGTGAAGCCACAGACATGAATAAAAGGAGGAGGGAGGAAAAACTCAAATGTCCGGTATGTGCGGAGTCATTTAGAGAAAGACATCATTTGACCAGACATATGACTGCACACCAGGACAAAGATGACGACGACAAAGATGTCAAATAAAGGGGACTGCTTTCGAGACGAGGGATTTTATTAACACGACTGTCTATCGGATTTATTTCCTTGATACTTAGTATGAGGAACGTTCTCTAAAATATATCAAAAAAATTGTTTCACACTGATATTATACAGTTTACATAGTACTAATGCAATTGATTCTAGTCTGATATTGTGAATAATATAATGGGAATTTCTTGTACATATGTATATTTCTGTGTAGATATTGATTTGTTAATTTTGTTATTTATGTGCAATAATATTATATTAATTTAATAAAGTTATAAATAATCCTATTATCTAATTTTTATCTACGTTAAAAGATGCATACTCTATTTAAGTAAATTTAGTAGCTGCTATTTCAATTTTAAAGGAGTGTGAATAAATTCTAAAGAAGCATGTAATGTAGGAAATGCTTTATTTTAAATTTTCAAATATTTCAATTAAGTTTTGAAAGTTGAAAAATGTATTAAAATCTGATTTTGAAGTACTAGTACAGCTGTAATAGTAAATAACCCTTTAACAAACAATTTGAAAACATGTTTTAGGTAATTACAAATAAACTACTATACTATCTTTTGAAGAATATCATAATTGTAGTGGCTATTATTATTTCTGAATTTTACACTTCTGAAAAAGAATCTGTCAACATACATCTACAGGTTCCTAAAAAAAATATAGAAAACATTTTTACAAAATTTAAGAATTAAACATTCAATAAATAAATATTAAATCTATCTAACGTTAAGAGTCTGTTCCACGACAGAGCCAAAGGTTTAAAGTCATTATATTCAATATACTCACTTATAGTACGTTGAAATTAAAAAATTGTCACATTTATTCAAATGTATTTGAGACTAATTGACGAAGATTAATAAAATTTCAGCTTACAGATTAATAAATTAGAGGTAGAAGTATACAAAATTGATATACAAATCTGTCAATCAGTGGCGTATCTGGAGATATTAGAAGGTGTTGTCAAGGACCAGAAAACTTGCCATGATTACTTTGGGAATTGGACAAGTGCATTCAATTTCGAATTTCATTTCCAAGGATTTTCAGTTTCGAATTTCATTTCATTCTAAAATTGGTCATTTTTTAATTTTAAAGTAAATGCATCATAAAGGTGAATAAATTAAAAATGTATTTGAAACTGTTGTTTTTATATAGAATGTATGGGAAATTCCAAGAAAATTACCTAAATACTTAGTCATTTTAATTCTTTTGGGAGCTGTGCTTCTTTGCTGTTCTTCAAATAATTAAAGATTTTCACAATAATTTCTTTGTGAAATGTTCGGTATTTTAGATATTTTCCCTGTGATGTGCATATTTTAGATTTCCAACAGTAGTAATAAATTAATAATTACAATTCGAATATAGCTCGGATTTTAAATAAAGTGGAAAATATTTTTTCTCTCAGAAATAGTGGCTCCTATCTAATTTAAAAAATTGAATTGATTGATACATTTGTCTATCAATTCAGGGAATTATTATTATTTTTAATTAATTACCTAACTAAATGCTTTGATGTTGATGATGACGGTTTATTAATTCAGTTGAAATATATTTGGTGATATTTAAATAAATTAGATTCTTTCTTCAACTTCAGCAATCTGCATATCGAACACAGTGATTTTAATTCCTTGGTTGATGAAAGCATTTTTTGTCGAAAATGAATTACCTCTCGAACGAAATACATAATTTTTAATTTTTCTTTTTCTATATCAGAAGAAAATATTTACCTACATGAAGCAATTATTTTGAATTCTTAAAATTTTAGCAATCATCCCAATATATATATTTTTAACCGTTCTGCTCTTTTCAAGATATTAGTAGTTCACAATTTAATCCAAGATGTATCTTCTATTTATTGTAACTATTATAATTTAATATACTGTTACACTTATTTTTTATTACTTAACCAATTAGTAGCAAATATTGTAATGCAATTTTGTTAATAAAGCACCGCAATATCATTAATTTATTTTATGAATAGAATCTAAATCCTGTCCATCTAAATCTATCTAAAAAATTAATACTCTGACTTTTCTACAATTACTTTACTTTAAAAATATTAAGCTAATTCAAATGAATTCCAAAGTTTTATTTAAATTTCTAAATTCCCATGAAATTAAACTGTTAGTTACCCAATATACCAAATAAATAAATCCGTAATCAACAATATTAAAATAAAAAATCTATTTAAATAGTGGATACTAAGGAAAAAACATAAAATTGATATATAGAGCTGTCATATATAAAATAAAGTGAACAATGTTTATAGGATTTATGTCATTGCATGTATCATTGGTAAACACGTAAATTGTTTTACGCATAGTTGCCATCGGTTCCACAATTTGGATGGGATCCGTTATAGATCGCATCATCAGGTATGTTTCTACCCTTGTTTGAATGAAATTTATTCGCGGCGGTGATAAATCTTAATCTGAAGAGACCGACCATTCGACATCTACTGATGTAATATTTCCAAAATTAAATAATCTACTTTTAAGTAGGAATGAAATGTTTTATTTATTTACTATATCGAATGGTAGGTAACAATCAATCAGTATGAAGATTAAATCAAACATAAATTGAGTCTTCTGGTTTTCGCCACTTTTCTTATACGTGTGTTGTGCACTGTTTAATACTTATTAGGTACTTTATGTTTATTAATATTTATTTGAAATGTTTTTATACATATACAAGTATGTATATACTGAATTACATTGTTGTTTATATTTTTACTTAACTTGCTTTCCCTATGACCCACATGCACTTGTAATACATGTATTGAGTGGCGCTTTGTTGCACAAATTTACTACTGATAAAGCTGTAATACTGACCTGAGTACATAATTTATTACTCCTTGTTTTTTTTTCTTTTTTATTAATTTTATAAAAAAAAAATAGAAAATAAAATTTAAACGAAAAGACCAGCTTAAATAGGTATTTTATATCTCATTATTTTCCCTTACTTTCATAAAATTCTTTTCTATTCCAAAAAATATATCTCTGTTTTGTTTTTCACCTGAATAGTTTGTATATGTTAATAATTTTATAGCTACTTACCGCTAAATTTGTTTTTTTTTAGTCAGTATAGTATGAATTGTTTGCTGTTTTTAGCATTAACTATGTTTGACATAATTACACTCAATTCTGCATCAAAAGACGACTAAAATCATAAAAGAAATCGTTCGAGTACAGAGAAATTGGCGACTAAATCGACAGCTAGGCAGCTCTCGTGGCTGACTGACGGCGCCAATGGCTATCGGACCGATTGTGACAGCTCTCCAGTGATATATTAAAACATTAAAAAAAAATGTCAAATTACACGTACCTACAAAACACTGATTTTAAAATGTTGCAAATTTATCGAGTTTGATCCATTATTGACCCTATTTCAGTTATTATAAGATACTTAAAAATTGTTCAACTCCTCATACAATGTTTTAAGATGAACGTAATAGTAGTATACAGGCTGTTACAAATTCGCTTCTCACTACAGGGATCTCGAAAACGGTAAGAGGTACGAAGTAGCTTAAATGGGGGCAAAATTGCGTAATCAGGGGACCAGCATTATGCCTCTAAAAAATCAAGGCTAACATGATTAGCTGAAAAAACCGAAATTTTGGAAATCCGTTTTTGTTTAACTTCAGCCTTGTTTGAGGTGATATTGAAAAAAGAAGAACACTTTTTCATGGCCACTTTTTGCCCTCTATCGAATGGCATATACAATTTTTTTATGTAACGTTTCGTCTCTCCAGGACCATCATCAACTTCATTTTTTTAAATACGATCTTGGAAATTTTATTACATTTTTTGCAAGTCTTCATGACCCCCAATACTGTACTGTCTCAGCCCTAACCAGATTCAGACGTTTTGTCTCGAAAAAATCATCTTTAGTGTATTCGTTCCAAATTTATCTAAATTTTTTATTTAGATTTCTTTGTTTATTGAAGTATCGTACACTGTAAGTGTCGTTAGACCCTGTGAAATCCATCTAGTTATTCAAACTATTACCACCACGCATTAAAATAAAACATTATTAGAGTTTTATTCCCGTGTCCATAGTTAATCCTAGACTTCTCGAGTGCTCAAAGTTCAAACAAATTCCGATCTATTTTTTTTAGGATATACATTTGACATGCTCTTTCACAGTTGCAGTTACAGATATAATAAATTCCGATAATATTATGCTGATTTTTATTTTTAACCTTTAACAAAACGAAAATGTTTTTGAACATTTACTGAAATATTTTAAAGAATAATATTGCTGGCATTTTGGTTGTTCATTTGCATTTTTCAGAATTAATTTGTCATATTAAAATTAAAATTGTAACAATGTTTTAATTTTGACGCAACAACTTATTGAGTTATGTATGTGATGGTAATGGTTAATAATAATAAATGTTCTATTGTAGCGCGTGGTGGTAATAGTTTAAATAACTAGATGGATTTCACAGGGTCTAACGACACTTATAGTGTACGATAATGCAATAAACAAAGAAATCTAAATAAAAAATTTAGATAAATTTATAACGAATTCACTGAAGATGAATTTTTCGGGACAAAAAAGAGGCACATTGTTGGTCTCCTGATTACGCAACTTTGCCCCCATTTAAGCTACTTCATAGCTCTTACCGTTTCCAAGATCCCTGTAGTGAGAAACGAATTTGTAACAGCCTGTATACTCATAGATTCTTGAGTAGGTTCGCGTAATATCATCAATTAAGCATATTGCGTAGGTACATAGGTTTTTGGAATCAAAGAACATTGTTTGATAGGATTGTCAGAAAAGTTTTTTTTTTATTTATTTGAATTACCTATCAATACATTTAAAATTAAATAAAAACGAAGCAGTGAATAATAAAATTCAATTTTTGTTAACTTATTAATTAAAATTATTTTGAAAAACTATAGCTTGTGTTGTAAAATAAATGGGAATTTCAATTAATATTATATAATTTAGTTCAAAATCTAAGAAAATATGAAAATTTACTTCTATAAATGTCTGGCTTTAACTTATTTTGCATGGCGCAGAAGTTATGCTTCATGACATACTTAAAAAAGGGATTTATTCAAAAGGTCCATTTTTGCTTACCTATCTTTCTTAAAAAATGTTTCCTTAATGTTTATGCAGTATTTCTATAAACATATGGAAA